AACCGCCCGCCCCTTCCAGTCCACGCAAAGCTTCAGACGGCCACAGCCATCAGCGCACAGCAGCTCCGAGCTTTGTCAGGACACATCTCTTCTCAGAGACACTCAGCAATACCTCAAAACATTATTCACTTTTCCCCTAATGTCTCCTCTCTGAGGGCAAAGGCCGTGGCCTTGTATCTTTTCAAAGCTCTCAGAGCTGGGCAGTCACCGTTCGCTTGGTACAAGCTCAGCACCTTTTCCCAGGCTACAGACTTTCTTAGAAGCAAGCAAGTGGCCAAGGTATTTAAAAAAAAAATAAATCCAAGTTTCTCCCAGGAATCCTCTTTGGCTTTTGCAGGCTCTCATTTCTTTTTTCACCTTTCAAACAGTGTGACAAGTCTAAAGTGTTTTAGGAAAGCAAGCTCATTCAATAGAGTGTTGAATGCAAAATATGAACGGACAAGACGACAGCAAGCACATTTTGTTATTGAAGAAAAGCATGTGTCCAGAGAGACACGCGCATGCTTCCAGAAGAGTAATTTTACGAGTTGCAACCCTTCGCCCCGCTTCCTCGAGACCTCAGTGCCACACGATCGCAGGTCAGCACCACACATGTCACGCTCAGCACACCTCTTCCATCCCTCCCACCAACATCCCCAGCTCGCAGCTCCAGACACCCCCGTGCCAGGTCACTCGTGACAACCATGCCAGAAGAGTTTATCCCAAAAAAGTCAGGGAAAACTGTCTGCTAAGGAGGAAGAGAAGCCCTATTTTTCAGCACTGTGAACACCATGACCGAGACACCACCATTTTAATATCCACTCCAAGTTTTGCTCAGTATCACACATAACCCCCCCCCAAGGCTGCCAGAACAACAAGAAAAATCTTCACCAAGACCAAGTGAAAGCTGTTGGCTGCTGCCTAGCTGTCACCCAAAGATTTATGTGCATGAAGAACGACACACCCACTCCCTCCATAAACGCCAGCACAGCTGCCAGCACTGGCCTGCCAGATGGCTTTGTTTGATGGCACACCTTTACCCCAACGAGTTTACAAAGGAGTTTTCATTCGAGGCTGCCGTCATTTTACACCCAAGTGAGTTAGAGAATGTATTTAACTGGCAGCGAAGTAAATACTTTCCACCATTTCATATGTGTCTTATCAAGATGATTACTTGCCAGGCAGTATGTGTAATTCTTCTACTGAAGCAGTAAATCTACAGACAGAAACTTTATTAACCCAATTATGGAGTCACAGCCAGAGCTACACTGGTATAAACGTTCCTTTCTGCAGCAGGGCAGCCCCTAGTCACCTTTACGCCAGGTGAGTGGGGGGACCCCTCAGCTGCACAAAACCCCTTAGAGCAGCACAGTTGTTGATCATTAGAGAATGTGGTGCTTTTATTGCAATGACAGCAAGACTCCCACTGCTCTGCTGAAGGGACTCACCGTAACCCGACACGTTACTGCATCCCTAACAAGCGGTACGTTTAGTTGTGCTTCTGCACTGCCACATACAGTCATACCGATGCAACGTAAATTCC